GGGGGGGGGGGGAATGGGCCCAGACCCAATGCGGGGGAGGGGGGAATAGGCTTGGATTAGGAGACAGGATGGGGGAGCAGGGCCAGACCTGAAGTGGGGCTGGGTGGGGGTGGGTGCCGGGCAGGGGCCTCTTTCCTGCCCCCACCATTGTTCTTGATTGGCAATTGGCTAGTTTTCTGTAATTGGCTAAGCGTTTCAATTGTTTTTCCTATTTCTTGGTTTTATTGGCTGCTTACAGATGTTAAATTCTAAAAAATATCACTGTACGTTAAACTTGGCACGCCCCCGCACTGAGCACAGCACATGCCCAGAAGAGGCATCGCATTAATTAGACCCGGCTTGCCCAATACCTGTATAGATTGGGGCTTTTTTGGTGCTTTTGTCTAATAACTGATTGAATCAGCTTTAGATAAAAGCGCCAAAAAGCCTCACTGAAGCGCCTGATCTATACAGATGCTCCAGAGCCTGGCTGAACTAATGCTCTGCTTCTTTCAGTAAAGTGCATTTGGGAGGGTGCTGGTTGTTTGTTTTCTAATGTCTGTAAACAGCCATTGTTATAAAAGGCTAGGTTGTATTGTAATTCTGTTACTTTTTCTTTCAGACAGGAATGTACTAAACTTCGTGAAGAGCTGAGGCTTCAGCATGAAGAGGATAAAAAGGCAGCCATGACTCAGCTCTTGCAGCTGAAAGAACGTGAAAAAAATGCTGCCAGAGATGGATGGCAAAAGAAAGTGGAAGATCTTTTAGACCAGGTAAGCAGAATGGCTAGTTTAGAATCAGAGAGGCTGTTACCGTTTAGTAGCAGAATGTTCATTAATAGCATGAAGTCTAAGTTAAACTTGTCTGACTTAATTTGTATTAGAATAACTCACTGCAGATTAATTAGTATTGAAAGGTTTTGAGGAATGTAAAATTACCTTAAAGTGAGATAAATAAGCATACTCTTGTTCATTGTTATATAGAATGTGAGTGAAATCTTTTTTATTCAATTCTTTAGCACTCTTTTCTACCCATTGTGAGCCTTTCTGTTTCTCTCTTTTCTCATGTTCTCTAATTCAAGTATTTACATGCCTTCTGTTACTTAGGTGGCTAATTGTTGGGAGGTATAACATGTGCTTACACAGATGATTCTGTAAAATATATTAAAACAGTCAGAATTTTCTAATCAACTGTATTACTACCCATTTATTATAGCTGTGTCTTGTCCTAAAGGTAGGAAACACTATTTGAATCTCTCAGGTCATGTCTACACTACTGACTTGCCATGCCAGGCAGTAATGCCCTTAAACATGTTTTCTGCTCCACCTATACTAATCCACAATCCTCAGCAGTGTAGCCATTTTTGCAATGGCAATATCAGCAGTCCTTGATACAAGGATGACAGTCTTCCAGTAGATAGGGAAGTTTGTAAAGGCACCAGCCACTGTTACCTGGTACTAGCAGTTACCTGGCAGTGCTCATTAGCTTGTCAACTGTGAACCATGCAGCTACGCTGCTGCTGTTTAGGGTAGAAGCATACTCTGTGTAAACTCTGGCCAGGCATTGTTTGCAGTGTAGCCATGGCTTCAGCTATTACCTTGGGTAACTTTGACTGATGCTGATTTTTTTAGTAATAAGTACTGTTTGTGTTCTCTCTCTATGACAAGCTCTATTATAAATACTTCTCTCCCTGTTAAGTCATTTAATAAAATTCTGTGTTATGTTCTCAAAAAGCCGGTAGGGAACAGTGTTGGATTGATTGACCAATGAAAGAGAAGACAGGATAGAAGAGTTATTTTTCTAATGCAGTGGCTAGCAACTGTTTCAAGTCACAGGGTGGAACAACCCAGCTCTGGTCCTGTACAGGCTGGTTATGGCACATCAGCTGCACCCACACCACTGCCACTTTTCCTAACCCCTGGCTCCTTGGCTTGGGTGTGGGCACAGCTTCCAGGTGGTAGGGAGCTGTACTGGGCTTGGGTAGATGGAAGCTGTGTCCACACTCCTGCTGCTTCTTCATCTCAGCTGAGGCAGGGAAGTGGGGGTAGAGGGCAAGAAAGGAGGGAGAAGTGGCAGCACATGGGCTCCAGCTGCTTGGCCTTGGTATACCTCCCTATTGGCTGGAAGCTTATGCTCATGCTGCAGTGTCAGGGGAAAGGGGAAGAAACAGTGGTGACAAGGGTGCAGCTGGAAGTTGCCCAGTCCCAGTGCAGCTTACTTAGCCCTCAAATGGGCATAGGCAAAGCCTTCAGGCTCTGCAGGCTATATCTGGTCCATAAGCCATATGTTGCTGACCCCCATTCAAATGGAAAGAAAGAGGTTTTTTCAGAAATGGTAAGTAGACACTCAGTATTTTAGTCTACTATGGCCTGTCTTCACCTTGCTTTCAACTTTGAGAGGTCAAGTAATAGAGTGCACATCTTTAGCCACACAATTTATCCAGGAGGCATAAGTTAGTATTTCTGCATCTAATTATATATTAGATGGGAAGCTAAAGTATGAAAAATCCTATCATATGTAATCATAAAGGTGAAGGGTTTTGAAATTTTTTTTCCCAAATTAACTTTATAGCATGAACTTAAAAGAACTTCTACTCGTCTCATTTTCACTTTTTCCCAAAACTCATTTACTGCCTTTTCTTCATTCTGTAAATGGTTATTGTCTCTAAGGAAGAGTAACTTTAAAGGGATATGTTAGCCAAAATGCCTCAAGCAGCTCTTAGTATGTGTGAAAAAATACTAAAATTGGTTTCCTAACAAACTGTGTTGTGATAAAGCTGGCCTAGTTTCCTGAAATGTAAAAATCCCATTTTGTGACTGTTGGATAAAGAGAGAAATGAGCATGTACTACTTGTCATTTTTATTTATGAATAACATTTTGGAACAGAAAAATCCAGAAAAAAATACAGTAATGGGAAAAGAGGTTATTTCCAAGGGAAGAAAAGAATTGTGGGTGTAGGAGACCATTTGAGTGTGTAAAAAAAAAGTGTCAAACTCTTGCACCTATTTCCTTCTGCCAAACAAGACAAAGTAAGTTATGCCATGCTATAACAGGTTATAGAGATAGAGGACTAATTAGAATCTAAAGCAAAAGGCACTTTCAGTCTTACTTCACTTTCTCCCTTTTCATTAGTGGATTCTTGTCTGACATTAATTGCACAAAGTTTGATTTTTCCAGGGTTTTTATAGACAATGATCTGCTCTGGTAGGCTTAGTTTTTCAGCATAAGCATTCCAATTTTTTTTTATTCCTGGTTCTGACAGATTTGCTTTAGCTTTCTGCTTCCACTACTCTTATCTTTATCTTTCAAAGGATTAAGTTTATTCGACTTGTGGCTCTGGGATGAGCAAAGGGATTTTGCTATAGCTCTTTATTTGTAGCTCTCCCCTGCCATCCCCTCCCCCCGATTCTGTACCTCTTCCTGTACTTCTAGTAATCACCTGCTTGTGGCAGTCTGAGGAGTTGAGTTCAATAATATGAGGCAGGAGATGGGTGGTGAGTGATATCAATCACTTTAAGTTCATTTTATTTTGGGATTGAAGGTGAACCTACTTTATTTAATGTGACATTAAGATGCCAGTGATAATTCTAATCAGTCCCTGTTTGATAAGTAATCAGATTTTAATTTAAACTACATATTTCATACTTCTAGTAGCTAATTGTATCATAGTGTGGTCCTCAGGAAATATCTGTTCATACCTGACTGATCTTTTTTCTAAGTAATGACAGAATTTCTGAATCTATTTATAAGTCCTTTTCAGGGATAGTGAGATTTTAGTCCCTAGCCTTCAGGACAAAGGAAGTTGTTTGAACAGAGATTTAGGTCATTCACAGCTACTTTGTCTTCTCCTGCCTCAATGGTATTCAGTTTAGTTTTGGAAATAATACTGCTGTTTTTTATAAACGTTAAGGGACCCCATTTATTTTGAGGCCCCTGCTCAAATCTAGCATTTTAAAGGGCTGTTTGAGAAGATATAACGTTAGTTACTCCCACTTGAAGCTGCATCCAGCTAGAGTTTATGAATGTTTCAAAGAAATATGGCTGCCTTGAAAAATGCAGATTTTTCAAATCCACAATGTCTTACATAGAATACTTTTATTCATTTTGACTGTTGTATATTCAGCAGAACTCCTAACTGAAAAAGGAAAATTATTGCTAACCTGTAGGAGCTGCCAGCTTATCACAAGACACCGACTGATGATCACATGCCCTAGTGTAATTTAGATTAGTTTTATACGTCGATGCAAATTATACTGGAATATATAATGAACAGTTTATTGCATGATAACTCACACTGTCAGCTGCAATTATTGTGCCTTGGCTACTTGGCAGGGGAGCAATAACTTGTTTGCCTTAAGAACATGGATACCCTGGGATAAACTGCAAATACAATTATCTCAACCAGTGCAGCCCGTTTCTGCACTGTGGCTTTTGTTTTTCCTGATTATTTCTGTAGAGAGAGGTAGTTAGCTGTGTTAGTCTGAAGTCAGGCA